ACATTTCCGTTTCCGAAGTGGAAGGTCAATGCGGGCAAGTTCTGTGGGTCTAACATCAGCCAGGATCCCAGGACCAAGGAAATCACCGTGTCCCAGAAGGAGTTTGCGGAAAGCATGAAACCTGCAGGAGTCAGACCTCGCGCCTCCCCTGGAACCCCGGCGACCGACAAGGAAATCGCGAACTTCAGGGCTATGCTTGAGAGCGGGAACTGGTTAGCGCGAGAGTCCAGGCCTGATTTAGCAGTGCAGGTATACATGAGTCAACAATGCATGCCGAGACCCACCGTCGGGGAAGTGAGACACGGTAACACCATCGTCCGTCGAACTAAGCAGTTTTCGAATCTCTCGTGGAGGATCAAGGCCCTTCCCATTGACAGACTGACAGTTATCATGCACGCTGACGCGTCTAATCAAAATGCATCGAAGTCAGGGACCCAGGCTGGATATGTTATTGCGGCTACGGACGAAAGGATGCTCCAAAACGAGTTGAGTCCCTGGAGTCCCCTGGTCTGGAAGAGTTATCGGCTGCGCCGCGTGACGTCGTCTACACTAGCCGCCGAAACTCAGGCTCAGATGGACGGTCTTGGGCATCTGGAATGGGTGCCGTGTCTACTGCTAGAGGGGAGTCACGGTGAGCTTTGTCTTCGTCGTCGGGCTGAATTTCTTCCTCTGTTGACCCCCATCGCCGTCACCGACTGCAAGTCGCTGTATGATCATATCGTGGGGTGCGGAAGTGCGGGGTCATGTACCGACAAACGTGCTGCTGTCGACCTAGTGATTACGAAAGAGAGTGTTCGTCGTCTTGGGTTGTGCTATCGGTGGGTACCGTCGGCCCTACAGTTGGCTGATATACTAACTAAAGATAAGGCCGAACCTGCCGATATGATGAGAGCTACGATGACGAGTGGAGAATACCAATTAGCAGACGAACCAGCAGTAATGGCAGCAGCAGCCTGGGAACGTATCCGTCGTCAGCTACTTTCGGCTCGGACCAAGCAGGATTCCAGCTGCACGAACACAAGTAGCGATCCCAAGGGTCACGGCCGCCATGGTGAAGTTCGAGAGTCAGCTGTCAGAGGACGAGGTGAGGAGCCTCTTCGAGAGCATACAAGTGGAACCAGTACGTCACTCCGGGACGACGTGCAAGGTGGTGACCAACCTCCGCACGCTCGGCGAGTGCGACGATCGCAACAACAGGACGAAGATCACACTGACATGGAGCAAGGGAACCGGAAATATTGCGATCAGGACGGCGGCAGTGGTCGAGGACGCCGCGCTGACCCTTACGAGCACGCTGGACGCAGCGTACGCAGCCCTCCTGAAGGACAAGGAACCGCAGGTGCTGGACGGCATGAACGACGTGATCGCGAGTCTGAGGCTACCACCAGCCCACGGGTACGAGGGTCCAGGTGCGTCCGATTCGGAGACGTGGAGTGTTATCTCTTCGAAGCTGCCGGACAGCCTGGAGTTCAGGACTGCAATCGAGAACCTGTGCGAGTGGGGGAATCAGGAGCTCCAGGAGTTCGAGGACCAGCCGCTGAAGTTCATCAAGATAATGATCAAAGAGTTCAAGGCCCCGTCGGACTACCTCCTCGAGACCGTGCCCGAAGGGGAGGAGGGCATGGACACGCAGAGCGAGGCCGGAGAGGCCGGAGCATATGTCGGCCGACAGCGGCCAGGCTGCTAGTCTCTTGAGCCGAGGAGCGATGAGATGTGCGAGGACTTCTGAGGCCGCCAGGGCCAACAGCCTCAATGACGCACGTTTTTGTTTTTGATCAGTGCTGATCGTAGTGACTGTGTGTAGTCGCGCGCGGCCCTGGTGGGCCCCGTCTGAAGTACTGAAGGCCCAGCTGGGCCTGGATGTGCACTGTGCGTGTTGAGTCTGTATCGCAGCATTTGGCTTGCCTCTGGTGAGGAAAGGTGGGGCGGGGGCCCCACTCTCGAAGCCATCTGCAATTATCATCACCATCAGCATCATCATCGTCATCATCAGCATCCGCATCATCATCAGCATCAGCATCAGCATCATGATCAACATCATCATCACCATCAGCATCGCCACCACCACTATCCTCAGCACCGACATCATCAGCAGCAGCATCATCATCGTCGCCATCATCGTCCCAGAATAATCGACATCGTCATCATCATCACCATCATCACCGTCAGCATCGCCATGAGCATCAGCATCATCATCACCATCCTCGTCATCGTCATCATCATCACCATCATCAGCATCATCACCAGCATCATCGACTTCATCATCACCACCTCCATGATAATCATCATCATCAGCAGCAGCATCACCATCACCATCGGCATTATCATAGTCTAAGTCATATGTATCATAATCATCATCACCATCACCATCAGCATCCTCATCATCATCATCAGCATCATCATCGTCGCCATCGTCGTCAGCATCACCATCACCATCACCACCACCATCATCACCACCATCATCATCAACATCATCATCAGCATAATCATAATCGTCGTCATCATCAGCATCATGATCATCAGCATCGCCATCGTCATCAGCATCATCATCGTCATCATCATCACCGTCAGCATCGCTATCATCATCATATCAGCAGCATCATCATCATCAGCAGCAGCAGCATCAGCATCGGCATCGGAATTATCATCGTCATCATGATCATCACCATCCGCATCGGCATAATCAGCATCATCGTCATCATCATCAGCAACATCATCATCATCATCATCATCATCATCAGCAGCAGCAGCATCAACATCGTCATCATCAACATCACCAGCATCATCGTTACCAGCATCATCAGCATCATCATCACCATCATCATCAGCATCAGTCTCATCAGTAGCATCAGCATCAGCATCATCACCACCAGTATAGTCTCCATCATCATCACCACCTCCATGATCATCATCATCATCATCAGCAGCAGCAGCATCACCATCACCATCGGTATCATCATAGTCTTACTCATAATATCATAATCATCATCATCAGCAGCATCATCAGCATCGTCGTCATCGTCGTCAGTATCAGCATCACCATCACCATCATCATCATCATCATCATCATCAGCATAACCATCAGCATAATCTGCATAATCAACATCGTCGTCATCATCATCATCAGCGGCATAAGAACCAGCATCATCATCATCATCATCCTTATATTCATCGTCATCGTCATCAACATCACCATCATCATCATCGTCACCACCACCATCATCACCACCATCACCATCATCATTAGCATCATCGGCACCATCGTCGTCATCATCAGCATCAGCAGCAGCATCGTCATCGTCATCATCGCCGTCGTTGTGTCAGCAGCAGCAACAGCAGTGGCCGCAGCAGCAGCAGCCGAGTCCGCTACAGGACGGCCTCACAAAATCCCAACGCAGCCCCAAGACGGCCGAGGTGTCACATGTTACGGCCTTGTGGGCGCTGCTCCAACCGTCACCACACAGAGGATCGGACAAGAGAGAGGAGCAGAAATGGCGAGGAGGTAGGACAGGATGAACGTGAAGAGAAGGCAGCAGTAGGAATGGACGAGGCCGATGCCGAGGACGAGGAGAGACACACTGACACGACGCGAAAAAGAGTCACATGGTGCGGCTCTTCTGGGGGCACGAGGTGTGTCACACGAGCGCCCCTCGAACAGTCGCCACCCAGTACTGAGCTCGCACGCTGGAGGGACGTGCCGCAGGCAGCGGGGACACTATGCTTCTCATGCACCAGCTTCTTTCTGAAAACGCGTGCCCCCCCAAGGACCGAAATCCAGATTTTAGCAACGCCGTGCTCCCTCAGGTCGCCCAGGCGCCATCCCGAGCAGGATGCCAGTGCCACTGGACCGCGTGCCCGCGGCCTCTGGGTGCCATGGGACACGGATAACATGATAGACCCACGAACCAAGATAGAAAATGCAAAGGCTTTCAAAAGCGTTCGAATCTGTACTGCCGGAATCGGCAGTCGGAACTAGGGGCCGAAGACTTACCTGATGAGGGCGGCGGTGATATGCATGGCCAGTCGAGGCTTAGCCATGGATATCACCACCGCCCTCATCAGGTAAGGAATCCACCAGAGTCTGAAGCCTCCTGGGCACATTCCTTAACCAACGCCCCCACCGAATCATTAATTCGCGCGCGCTGGGCGACCCTTGGGGGCTCCGGTAATAGGTTCAGCACTTGTACACTATCATGCATTCGCGCGCTAGGTGACCCCTGGGGGTCCCGGAGGACAAGCATATGCCCCTGGAAACAACTCCTGGGCGCGGCTTCAGGACCCACACAAAAGCCCCAGGAGCGCCCAATTACAGCCGCAAGGGCCACGAGACTGCCAAAGAGCACTCCAAAACGGCCCAAGACGGCCCCAAGACGGCCAAGACGCAAAAGCATGGATGATCCGCTGCCCCAAGGAGGCCCCCAAAGAATCCCCAGGAAGCACGAATAATGCCCGCAACTAGCCTCCAGGAGGCCCCAGAGAGGAGTCCCAAGAGAACCCGAGAGGTATACAACACGCCTCTGACCCACGGCCCTTGCAACCAGACGGCCAAGAGAGCACTAAACTCGAAGACATCCCCACGAGGTCCCGAAGAGGGCCTCGAGAGCCCAAAACGGCCGAAGATATATAGCCCCAAGATTATTCTCAGATGGTCCAGGAGAGCCCCAAGACGCCCCCGAGAGAGCCAAAATAGTGAAAAGCAATCAAGTGCTCCATGTGTTTTGCCTGTTCCGCATTGTGTTCCCGGCGAGATTGCCCAAGACGGGCATACGGTGGCCCAAAAGTGACCCAGGGTGCCGCCAAGCCCGCCCTGGATGGCCCCACAAGGCCCCAAGATGGCCCCAGGATGCCCTTACGAGGCCCCAGAGGCGAGCCACAGAGACACCAAGGTAGCCCCAAGATTGCCCAACATCGGTGTCCCGAAGGTGGCCCGAAAGGCGCCAAGATGCCCCCAAAAGGGCTCAAGAAAGCCCCAAAGCTGCCCAAACATGACCACAAGATGACTCAGCCTGGGGCGCGGGGGGGCGGCAGAGGACACAGCTTTTGGGATACCGACTACGGAGCTCATAGACCGCAAAAGATAATTACGATTACGACCCTGGCAGGAAGACTAGGCCTGAGGTCTTTGTGCCCCAGCCGAATCACGAATTCGGGCGTGCAGGAGGCGACTGGCAGCGTTTGTGCAGTGTCGCCTCTAAGGCTCGACCCCGCCAAACTTCGGGTGGAGTCCCCTGCTGAGCCTCGACAAACCTTCGCAGCGCGAGAAATAGGAATGTTCAATCAGTCGCAGGTCTGCCCGTGGGTCCGCCCCTGCATGTCGGTGCAGCCGTTGGCGCAGGGCGCGGGGGCCAGAGGGCGGGGCGTGCGCTGCTGACGGCTCAGTAGAACTCGGCATCCCCTCGGCTGGATCTACCGGCATTGCCCGCAGATGTGGGGGCACTCGGCCTTCAGCGTCTCCGAGTTGGCGCAATGCCCCCACCCATGCCACTGCGCGCACGTGTACCCGTAGGTGACCTTTTCGACCTCTGCGCAGCTCCCAGGACAATCCGCCTGAATCGTCTGCGACCCAGCGCAGTGGCTCGCTAGCGCCCACTGGGGGCAGGTATACCCATACGACAACTGCCCCTGCCTGTCGGTGCAGCCAGCACCGCCCGCTGGAGCGGGGGTCGGCGCCTGATTGCACTGCTGGCAGCTCACCTTGCAGTGCTGCCGGATGCCATTCGACACAGCGCAAGCGCCCTGCGCCAGCCACGCGGCGCAGGACTGGCCCCAGGGGTTCTCGGTGCTGTCCACGCATCCGGCGGGCGCAGGCCCAGGGGTAGGAGCGGGGGTCTCCGAAACGCACTGCTGGCAACTCACCTTGCAGTGCTGCCGGATGCCATTCGACACAGCGCACGCGCCCTGCGCCAGCCACGCGGCGCAGGACTGGCCCCAGGGGTTCTCGGTGCTGTCCACGCACCCGGCGGGCGCAGGCCCTGGGGTCGGCGGGGGAGGGGTCGGCGCTGGCGCAGGCGCAGGCGCAGGCGCAGCCGAGCCGCACTGGTACATGTCCTGGAACTGGGCGATGTCGCCAGCGGAGAGCCCATCTCTTTGCCCTGGAACGCTCTGCCAGGCAGAATTGGTGGCGTCGGCGTTGTCCCCCAGGCCGTAGTGCATGATCGATCCGTAGTCGTACGCCGCGTAGCCAGCGGTCTGGGAGCCATAGTAGCTGCGCTTTTGGCCCTCCCACTGGGGCCTCCAAACCGTATCGATGTTTTGCCACTTCACTCGCAGATGGGGGCCCTTCCACCCCGCCGGGGTGTTGGTCTGGCCTGGGCCGTCGGGCCGGTTCTGCTCGTGGTTCATGCCCAGCGCGTGGCCGAGCTCGTGAGCAATGTTGCCCCAATGAGTCAAACTGTTGCACCAACCGAGGTTCACGTCAAGAGTCCCGTCCGAGCCAGGGAACCCCACGAAGGCAGAGCACGTTGCCTGGTTGGTGACCGTGATCCTCATGCACGGTGTAGCGGAGCTATATGTGAACCTCACGCACGTCTTGGACTCCCACTCGTCCTTGGCCTTGTTGAATGCTGCTTGTCTGTCCGCGTCGAGGTTGTCGAAGTAGTAGTTGATATTGACCACGTTGCCGACCTTGGTCGTCCAAGGCCCGCCCCCGGGGCTGCAAGGGTGGGGGTAGCACGGCATCCAGCCGTAGGCTTGGGTGCAGAGGCCGCAGCTGAAGGGGCAGGCGCCGCGCACGGCCAAGCCAAGAGCGCCTGCGGCGTTGCACCAGGTCTTGGCCTGGGAGCAAGGCATGTTGTTCCCGACGCCCGTCTGGGTATGATCTTCACACAACCCTTTGGCGCTTAGGAGCGACAAATTGGCCAACGTGTCTGGGTGCACCGTCGGGGTCCCTTCGCCGGCCCCATCCTCCTCCGTGATCTCATGAGGGTCCACGCCCACTGCAATCCCGTCGATGTACGCCTCGTCGCCCGTGCTCAGCTCCGTGAGCACCGTCGGTACTGCCCCGTCCTCCAGAGGCCCCGTGTACTGCCACACCAACATTTCGCAGTGCTCGTTGTCGTCTGGATCGACGGAGCCGTTCGGCAAGAGCAGCCCAGGAGGTGGCGTCAACTCGTGCCAAGCCGCCCTGTTGGCCCTCGTGGCGCCACACCGGCACTCGGAGAGCCCCGCGCGCTCGCTATGCACGAGGCCCGCGAGGTCCAGGCCCTTGGAGAGACAGAACATGAAACAATCCGAGGCAGACTGCTCCTTCTGCATGGGGAGCCGGAAGAAAGGCATCCCGCTGCGGCAAGGCTCCAGCGAGCTGTTGCGCCTCGCCGCGCTCACGCACGTCGTGTCCTGGAAACTTTGCTGGTCGTCCATGTCGCCGGCAGCACGGGGAAAGCAGCCCACCATCTGGCGCTCGACCCTGACGTGGCCCTCGTGCGGGCTGTGGCTCACGGTTGCCCTGGCCTGGAGCAGCGCTGAGTCCCGCGCGCAGACTGGCGCCACACCCGCGGCCGAGGCGACGCCGAGGGAAGCGAAGATCAAGGCTGACGCGCGCGGCATGGCCCGCTGTGGAGCGTGGCGGCAGGTCGTGCAGGGCCGAGCCAGGGACGTCTTGGGCAATTTCTCGCGTGAAAAGATGTGAGCCGAGGTGGCCACGGAAAGAAACTACACATGCGGAGCATGACGCTGTCGGGCAGGGTGATGAGAATGACCGCCTCTCGCGGCCACATAGAACCTTCAAAAAGAGCTGCTACGGGTATCAACCCTCTAGGCCCTGGATGGGAAACTACTGTATGAACCCGACGCAACCCCAACTAGGGGTCCTCTCTCTTCCGAAGCGATTCAAAGCAGTTCTGAGCAATGCAAAAGATATGCATTGCTTGGCATTGCTCGCCATTGCTCGGCATTGCTTGGCTGGCGATGCTTGGCATTGCTTGGCATTGCCCAGCATTGCTTGGCTTTGCTCGGCATTGCTCGACATTGTGGCGTTGCTTGGCGTTCATTGGCATTGCTCGGCACTGTCTGGCATTACTCGGCGTTGCTCAACATTGCTCGGCATTGTTCGGAATTGCTTAGCACTGCTTGGCAGTGTTCGGCATTGCTTAGCATTGCCTGGCATTGCCTGGCGTTGCTTGGCGCTGCTTAGCGATGCCTGGCATTGCTTGGCACTGCTCGGCATTGCTCGGCATTGCTTGGCGTTGCTCGGCCTTGCTCGGCATTGCCTGGCATTGCTCGGCATTGCCTGGCATTGCCTGGCACTAGCACTGCCTGGCAACACCGAGGAAAACCGAGAAACACCAGGGGCCGTGGTTGCCGAGCAACGCCAAGGAGCAACGCCGAGGAGCAACGCCGAGGAGCGCTGGGGGGTGAAGGACCCCGCACCCACCAGCGTCCTTCACTAACACGAAAGAGCTCCTCCCGTGTGAACTCCAGAAACAAAGATATGTCGCATTCTACTCGGGGCACCTCCGTGCCACGAGGCACTAGAAACCTTACAATAGTTCAAGACAGTCTCAAGACGGCCGAGGTGTCACATGCACGGCCTTCTAGGCGTTGCTCACACCGTCGCCACACACAGTGCGTTTAGCAGCGATCAAAATTGACCGTGCACGAATTACTGAAAGCTCGGGGCAGCAGGTGTCAAATGTTACGTCATTCCCCTGAATATTCATTTCCCCCTCCCTCCTCCTCATCATCATCAACATCATGATCATCATCATCATCAACGTCATCATCAGCAGTATCATAATCACCACCATCACCATCAACATCGTCAACATCATCAGCATCATCAAGATCATCATCACCACCATCACCACCGTCATCAGCATCATCAGCATATGCATCATAATCATCACCATCATCATCACCACCACAATCACCACCATCAGCATCAACACCACCACCATCATGACCAGCATCATCATCATCATCATCAGCACCATCAGAATACGAATACTGAAAATTCTAATAATATATATATATAAATATAACAATAATAATAATCATCGTCGCCCTCATCATCATCATCACCATCATCACCATCATCATCATCCGCATCATCATCATCATCATCATCATCATCATCATCATCATCATGATCATCATCATCATCAGCATCATCATCATCATCATCATCATCATCATCATCATCGTCATCATCATCTCTCCTATGCCTCCCTTCCCTCCTCCTCCTCTCCCTTCCTCCTCCCTCCTTCCCCCCTCCTCTTCCTTCCCCCTCCGCCGTTCCCCCTCCTCCTTCCCCCTCCCCCCCCATCGCGGGCTCCCCGGACACGCCGCCGGCCAGCCGGCACAGGGCGTCCGGCGCGGCGCCGAGCGCGAGCGCGGTGCCCGCGAGGGCGAGCGCGTAACGGACGGGCGCGAAGCTGTCGGTCCTGGGCAGGCGGGCCACGGTCATCCGAGGAGAAAGCCACGCGGGAGCAGGAGGAGGAGAGAGAAGGACGCGGAGGAGAAAGGAGGAGGAGGAGGAGGAGAAAGGAGGAGGAGGAGGAGAGTGAGGAGGAGAAGGTTCGGTTCGGTTCGGCTCTCCTCGGAAGCAAGGTGCACGACCTCGTCAGCCGGGGGGGGGCGCAACGAATAAGTGGCACAGCCCAGGGTGCCCGCTTTGCGGGCTCATTTTACCCCGGGGACACGACCCCCAAAATAACAAAAAATAATGGAACATAGAAAGACGAGGACTCTCCCGACTGAAACAATGCCCACCCACCCCCATCCTGTTCATCCAGTTACCCACCCACCCCCTCGAAGCGGTCGCAGACGGCGTGCCCGGCAGCGCCAAGATCGCGCCGATGTCCGCCCGCGGCGGCGGGCGGACGGCAGTTGGGGGGGGATGGGACAAGAGAGGAGAACCATTCTAGACACACAAAAAACTTACAACAACAACAACAACAACAACAACAACAACAACAACAACAACAACAACAACAACAAAAAACAAAACAACTAAACAAAAAAAAAAACAAACAAAAATATGTGTATAAATACATATATAAACAAACAAACACGCAACACCACCATCTCCGACATACATAATGTTGAGAGAACCCCTCATCCAAGCGAAGATCACTCTGCGCAGATCACTCTGCGAAGATCACTCTGCACAAGGGGGGCTGAAGCAACAGGAGTCTGGATCTCATTGGATTGACGGCTAAGAGAGTCCGTCCAAACAAACTGGGATACTACGAGCTGCTATCTCTCTCTCTCTCTCTCTCTCCAGCACGCCTTCTGGCCAAAGCCTGCGACCTGCTGGCCGATACGCGGGTGAGAATCTCTGGGGGAGGCGAGGGAAGCTCAGGAGGCGGGGGAGGCGATGCAACTGACTGACCTTAAAAAGAGGCCCTAGAACTATGCGATGAGGAAAGAGCAACAGAACGCGCACCTTCGAGTTCCCCAAACTCCGTCGGGACTCGAACCTCCTCCGATTCAAGAACTCTGGAAATGCGTGCCAATGCCGATGCTTTGCTGCTACTCCGTAGGGGCCCTCCCATCTTGCCCAAATTCGCACTGATCAAAAACTGTAAAACTAGAAGAATCCACTGCCAAGAGGGCCTTGACTGGGAGAAGGTGCCAACTAGGAGCGCACCTGAGTTCCCACACTGATGGGGCTGGATGCTCGAGCGGCCCAACGCGCCATGCAATTGCCATTGGGCACAGCAACTCCACGCGCGCCTGAAACTCATCATTGGCAACCGATACCTGAAAACGATGTGCCGAGCGCATGCCTGCGATTTCCCACGGCGCCTGCCCCGACCTAAGCGGCGGGGGGGCCTCCACCTTCCACCTAGCAACAAGAAAACGCGCAAGGAGGTCCTCCTCCCACCGCAACAATGCGGCCAGCCTTGGCATGCCTGGTCCAAGTCTGCACAGACTCCGAGCGCGCGAGATCCCCTTTGACTTGCTCAAGCAGGATATCGATTGACAAAACTGTAAGTTCAAACGACGGTGCGTTACGCTGCAGGGGAATTTCGGCCGCGCGCCGCACGTCACCCCCACTGCGCATACCACATAAAAAAGGCTAGCAATAAAGACGTCTCCCGATGGGCCCCCGAGGGGCCGACGCGGCAAGGGGCCCCGTAAACTCTGCGATCATAAAGGGCCACTCAATCTCCGAAGGCAAGGGATCACGTTCGTCTGGGGCTTCTTCCCCAACAAGGTCGTTGATGGCCTGTCGCCTCCAACCTCTTCAAGCCTGCACTGTTTCATCGATGAACTTGGAGACCTCGGCCGGGGGGCAATTGGCATGAACTGCCACCGCACTCGCAGGGAGGGGCCCAGGAAGGGCACGGGACGGGAAAGCGAAGTAGGAATGCGATCTCCCCTGCCGAGTCAACTCCTGATTTTGCTGACGCTCTAGGGCCGCCATGGCCTCTCGCTCGGAAACTTGCACGGGGCCGACGCGAAGAAGATAGTAGACTAAGCAAGATGGTCTCCACGACGAGACATGCCTTGGTAGAAGACTGCGCGACGAACAAAATGCATGGCATGTCGCGCACCAATATGTAGAGACTCCAGCTCTGGCCAGGTCAGCTCATGAAAGAGATTTGCGCGCATGTGCGCATCCAGCGATCGCACAGCCATGAATTCGGCCAGGCAAAAATGGCATCGCAACTGATCATCGGACGGGCGAGCTACAGGAAGATCCCCGCGCGGCGGCAGACCTGCAAACATCAGATCCGCCAGCGCACGTCTGCCCCATGCTCTAGTCTGCAGCGCTTAGAGCCTCCTTGAGCTATCTCTTCCACGCGGCGGGGGACCTCGGCACCTCCTCAACCCAAGGGAAAGGCTCTAGGTTTGGCAGAGGCCAGCCAGCAAACTTGAAATGCGCCGCCCTCAGCCACGCCATGTCATCGAGAATATCGCGCGGCCAACTTCTCTTAGACACCCGAAAGCTTCTAGTGGTTCTAAGGCATTGCGAACTACGTGCCCAAACAACCTGAGACGGGAAACACGCAGGAGGGGGGAGATGGCAGCAGTGGAAAACTGGAGCGAAAGTCCCTCCTGGGCCACCTGCGCGGCAACTTTGCCCGCAACATCAGCAATGATAAAGATGAACACCGAGTCTCCGAACGGGGTGCCTGGCCCAGCCCACTGATGCGCAATGGCCACTGCTCCGCCCCTGGCACCTGAAGCCATCTCATGCGGAAAGCTTCTTGGGCCATGGCAACATAATGCTGGCGTAGATCGCGCCTGTGGGGCAGCAGGCAAATAGGCCTCGAGCCTCTCACGCAAGAGAGGCAAATAGGCCTCGGGCAGACCTGCCGCTCGCAACAGGGCTAGCAATGATGCTTCTGAAGCGTCTGATGTCAATACCATCTCGTATACACGAGTGGAAGGCATTGACAACACCAACACACAAGAGTGCAATGCATCTCGCCTTTGCCATAGCCGTTCTGCGCAGGGCCCGAGCCGCGGGCATCGCCATGGGCGCGCCACGCCCAGGGGCGCAGGCAACCTGATTGCCCCCAACAACTCTCGCGAGCACAGGCAGCATGCGCGAGCGCAAACATGAATGATATGTTTGCCGATGCGCGACAGGGGGAAATGCGCTTGGCCTGAACTTTGGCACAAGCCCTCACAAAGGCCCCGCGGAGGCCATCTGGCCCCGCGGCTGCCGCGTCAGCACTGCGAAGCGCCTGCTCAAATGCATGTAAAGACGGCACGTCTTCCCACGATCCCTCACACTGCAGGGAGGAGGCCATAGGCCGATAAACAAACACGGAGCCGGCGAGAGACGGGGAGACCACAACTGCCGACTCCTGTGCTGCGAAGTGATCCATCCACCTCTGACG